ATTAGAAAAAAAGATTTAGGTTTTCAGTCTTTAAGCAATTTTCGAATAGGAAAAAAAAATTATTAGAACGATAATGGTAATATGAATGCAGATAATATTCGTTTTAAGCCGTAAATCTTCATTTCTTCCTCGTGTTTATGAGAATATTAGCAGTGGACTGTAACTCTTCTCCAATCCCGGTTTGGGATTTTACATAATGGAAGAGAGGATTCTCACATTAAGAGATTCACAGAGAAGAAGGAAACTTCATTAGAGGAGCTTTTTATTTGTGTCTTACTTTCCCTACATCAACTCAGGGTTCATCTTTCTCTGATACGAAGTTTCTTTCCATTTCGTTTGAGATGCCCTTAAGCACCTAATGAAACGTAAATTCTCAAAACAAAGCTGAAGAAGCAGCAACGAAATGTCATGGCATTTTCGTTTTTGGTATGATCGTTTCCTCATTACGCTCTACCATTTTATTATTTGGCAGAAACATATCATACTCGACCCTTGTGATGATTTTTTTTTTTAATTGTTGGGTTTTATAATCCTTCTTTCTTTCTGGTGGAGAGATTGTAATCTCTTTAAGGCGAGATGCTCGTTGAAGGTGCTAAACGACGGTGGACGTCAAGTTTATTCTATCACTGAAGGAGGCTTAAGTTTATTCTATCACTGAACGACGGTGGATGTCACGTTTCTCACCAGTTTTCGTTTTCGGATTAAAACTTGGTATCTTTTTCCTTTTCGGATTAAAACTCGGTATCTTTCTTCGGATTTTGAACAATGGACTCTTGGTTATTAATCAACGAGTTGATCACGTTGCTAAACTTAGCTTTTCGAAACTTTGCCACCATTATTATTGCTTTGATTTTTTCTAAACTTTTGATCTTTGAGGCGTGATCGAACCAGCGGGTAAAATAGATCCGCTGAGGTTGTCTACTCAAAATTGGCTATCACGTCAAGTGATTGAGTTCTGGAGTTTCTCAAGCTTATGTTATGTCATCTTGTTGAAATTCATGAATAATTTGTGTTTCTTTCTCTTTGTCATATATTCTTCAACGAATCCGTTGTCCCTGACATTGAGAAACAAATGTTCATCAATAATTTGTGTTTCTTTCTCTCTATCACATAATCTTTTTGGAATGCTCTTTTCTTAAATCCACCGATCTGGTTGTGGTTTCTAGGCATATCGACTTCGAGTTTGATGAATCAAAAAGCTTTTTGTTCCATTTAGTCGGTGCCAAATTTTGAGTGGAGAACCGGTTACGATTTCGATTCACAATAGAATAAAATTGGGATCAAAGCTTTCTGGATGAAACACTAAATCAAAATCAAAGAATAAACAAACAAAGATGAATTGAAGAAAGGTGAATCATATTTTTATTGATAGTACACAAAGTAAATCGTGTACAAGGAAGAACAATGATTCTTTCTAGTGCAAGTCCTTTTTGTCGTGGAACAGCTTCTTCTCTTGTCTTCCTCTCTTTTATAATCTTCTTCCACTTTGGCTATTAATTTCAGAATTAATTCCAAGATTTGACCATCACCATCAATTCATGAATTGAATAACAAATTAATGTCAAGAATTGGCCGTTTTGACTTGGTCATTTGAATATCTATGGCCTTTGTGTGATGATGGGCTTTCAATGGAATGGACCGAATTCGTAGTGCTAGATCTGATACCCACAATGAGATGACACTCTGAATGAGGAGAGCTTAATTTAGTCCGTTTAAATGTGTTTTGAATTCATCGATGAAATAAAGACGAATTTAAAACAACTAACTATAGTGTCAAAATATGACTTTTGGATTTGGAGACATAAGAAGAGTGAAGAATATTCCGTAAAATCAGTTCCACAAGAGAATAAGTGAATCGAATAAGAACCAAACCAATTTAGTTTCATTTTTTCTAAATCTGAACATACCGTATCCAAAACCGAACGTTAAAGAAACTTAACTATGTAAAAACCTCAACTTATTTGGAAATGCTTAAAATTGTTGGGATATCATTCCAAATTCACATCAGAATATCAGATAAAAGTTTGTTTAATACAGTATGTTAAACTCCAAATAAAGTATGAAATATTTTACGAAAACGTCCAGAAACAAATCTGTGTGGACTTGGTTATTTATCATACTAATGTGTGAGGTTTGATATAGGTTTGCAAAGCCCAACATAAACCAAAATATATTTGTTAAAAAGCTGAATCGAAACCGAAATCTTATTTAGTAGAACCAAATGATATTCAAGTTTGATATCTTTTAGTTATATCTTCATAAATAGAAAAGTAAAGTTAAACACTAACCGAAATAAAACCCATAAACAGATTAGACATAACTCTCCTTGTAAGTAAGGGAGTTACAATCTAACTAGCTGCATGTCTTATTTATTGGTAAAATAGAATTTTTTGGTTATGGAGTTTGATAATAAGACTTAAGAACGGCAATCAGCTACACAATTGCATAAACGTCGGGGTGGCTGGTTCTTCCATGCAAATTCCTATGTACAACCTCTGCAAGCTACTTTAATGTTCCTTGGGACCGCATGAATCTTTAATAAGGCTGCTCTTACGTCTCCTTCACAAAGCCTTATTCCATTATTTCCACATTTTCCTGAGAAAGTATCTGTCGCATTACACCCAAGATCCTTCGCGCCTTCCACCTCTAATATTTCAACAACAACAAAAACTGTTAAATTATATAAATATATATATGAAAAGGAGACTGATA